AAAAAAAAAAAAAAAAGGCCAGGCGCGGTGGCTCAAGTCTGCAATCCCAGCACTTTGGGAGGCCTAGACGGGCGGATCACAAGAGGTGGTGGGCGCCTATAGTCCCAGCTACTCAGGAGGCTGAGGCAGGAGAATTGCTTGAACCCAAGAGGCAGAGCTTGCAGTGAGCTAAGATCGCGCCACTACACTCCAGACTGGGCGACAGAGCGAGACTTCGTCTCAAAAAAAAAAGAGTGATAGGGAACTCTATGCCGCCCTGTGACAGGGCTCCCTTCCCCTGGAGGCTGTCGCGCCGCTCTGATTAGAAGCCCCAGCCTGAATGCCTCACCTCATTGTGTCATTGAGTCCCTTCTGCACGGAGAAGACTTGCTGCTTACTGACAGCCTGGGAAGCCTGAAATAGCTGGCAGACGATCTCATTGGAAGCTCTCACCTCTAGTCCAAGCTGGTTTCCATTTGCACAGGCTTTGGCTAAAGACAGCTAAGGAAGAAAAGACAAACATGAGTGTGAGGTAGCAGCTGTGTTGTGGTTTTCCATTTCTGAAGCAAAGGGCCATTCAGGCAGCAAATGCATATGGACGCACTGCCCCACTTAACTTAAACCTTCACAAGCTTCGGGAACGAGGATAGCTCAGGTTTTAATTATTCTTCTTTTTTGAAAGTCATAGATGACATGAGAAAAGATATATAATGAAATGTCAATGGCCTTTCCACCGTGGCTCAGGTCTCAGTTTCTTACATGGCTAATGCCTAGGGCAGCTGTGTTAAGTCTCTGGTCACACACCCCAGTGCTCTCCAAAAGGCTTCTGCCAATGTTTACACCCAGGAATAGGAGTACCTGCTTCATCACAGCTTCATACCAGCAAACACTGTGATTATTAAAAACAGCTATTTTCAGGTCAGGCGCGGTGGCTCATGCCTGTAATCCCAGCACTTTGGGAGGCCGAAGCGGGTGGATCACGAGGTCAGGAGATCGAGACCATCCTCACTAACATGGTGAAACCCTGTCTCTACTAAAAATACAAACAAAAAAATTAGCTGAGCATGGTGGTGGGCACCTGTAGTCCCAGCTACTCGGGAGGCTGAGGCAGGAGAATGGCATGAACCCAGGAGGCGGAGCTTGCAGTGAGCCGAGATCGCGCTGCTGCACTCCAGCCTGGGTAACAGAGTGAGACTCCGCCTCAAAAAAAACAAAAAACAAAAAACAAAAAACAAAAAAACAGCTATTTTCAGAAATTACCAGTCACTCAAACACAGAGAAATATACATATACACACACACACATACATACATACATACATATATATATATATATAATTTGCTAATACGATGAGTCCAAAATATCTCATTTAAAAGTGCACTCTTACGACTAGTAATAAGGTTGAACATTCCAATTTCTAACCACTTGAGTTTATTTTCTCTTTTTATTTATTTATTATTAATTTTTTTTTGGTCAAGTGCGGTGGCTCACTCCTGTAATCCCAACACTTTGGGAGGCAGAGGCGGGCAGGTTACTTGAGGTCAAGAGTTTCAGATCAGCCTGGCCAACATGGTGAAACCCCGTCTCTACTAAAAATACAAAAATTAGCTGGGCATGGTGGCGGCCGCCTATAGTCCCAGCTACTCAGAAGGCTTGAGCCCAGGCATCAGAGGTCACAGTGAGCTGAGATCACACCATTGTGCTGTAGCCTGGGCAACAGAGAGAGAACTCCTGGCTTCAAGTGATCCTCCCGCCTCAGCCTCCCAAAGTGTTGGGATTATAAATGTAAGCCACTGCGCCCAGCCCTACTTCCTCTTTTTTGAGAATCAACTGAGGCTCCCCTGAACTTCTATCAGAGTCTTCCTATTCTTATTGATTACCCTGAGTTTCCAACAGAACTACGTTGCTGCATTTCTCGTAAACAATTTTTTTGTTGAGATAAGGTCTCCCTCTGTAGCCCAGGCTGAAGTACAGTGTTGCGATCATGGCTCTCTGCAGCTTTGACCTCCCAGGCTCAAGTGATCATCCTGCCTCAGCCTCCTGAGTAGCTGGACTACAAGGCACATGCCACCACATCCAGCTAATTTTTTTTTTCTTTTTCTTTTTTTTTGAGATGGAGTCTCGCTCTGTTGCCAGGCTGGAGTGCAGTGGCATGATCTCGGCTCACTGCAACTTCTTCCTCCTGGGTTCAAGCAATTCTCCTGCCTCAGCCTCCCGAGTAGCTGGGATTATAGGCACGCGCCACCACGCCCAGCTAATTTTTTTTTTTGTATTTTTAGTAAAGACAGGGTTTCACCATGTTGGCCAGGGTGGCCTCCATCTCTTGACCTTGTGATCTGCCCGCCTCAGCCTCCCAAAGTGCTGGGATTACAGGCATGAGCCACTGCGCCCAACCCATCCAGCTAATTTTTAAATTTTTTGTTGAGATGGGGTCTTACTATGTTGCCAGGGCTGGTCTTGAACTCCTGGGCTCAAGCGATCCTCCCAACTCAACCTCCTAAAGTGCTAGGATTACAGGCGTGAGCCACCACAGCTGGCCTTCTTGTAAATCTGCTGACTGGCTTTTTGGATGTGAACACCACAATGTACTATGACACCTCGGGCTGGGCCATTATCAATTTGTAATTTTGTCCCTAGCATTTGAGCACAGATCACTCTGCCACCCACTTGGTGGGGTGACAAGAATAAGCTTCTATCCATTTGGCAAATAGGAGCTTTCTTTGATTTGTCCTGACAACTTTTTTCTTTCTTCAGACAGAGTCTTGCTCTGTCGCCCAGGCTGGAGTGTAGTGGTACTGCAACCTCTGCCTCCCGGGTTCAAGCGATTCTCCTGCCTCAACCTCCTGAGTATCAGGCGCTTGCCACCATGCCCGACTAATTTTTGTATTTTTAGTAGAGACGGTTACACCATGTTGGCCGGGCTGGTCTCGAACTCCTGACCTCAGGTCATCCACCTGCCTTGGCCTCCCAGAGTGCTGGGATTTCAGGCGTGAGCTACCGCGCCTGGCTCTGACAAATTCTTTACAGCTGTGAGGGGAGAGTCTACCAGTGCTTGATTTCCTGCCTGTAGCCCTGGATGACTTGGTGACCAGGTGACATGACGAGCAAGGCCCCAACAGGAAGAGGAAGCAAGAAGGGACTCTACACGCCCCTCTGCTCTCAAGCAGCCTCAAGTTTTGTTGTTAAGATCAGTTCTACCTATGGGACAAATTTCAAGAATGGCACAAATTTTGACAGCAGCTGTAGGTCACAAGCATTTGAAAATTAAGAGGTTGGCTGGCTGAGAGGCAAGGGTGGATGGGCATGGATGAATAACATATTTCCCAGCTCTTCTCACTGTGTACCTGTCCTTTAAGACTCAGTTCCAGTGCTGAACCGATCTTACAGTATCCCTCAATCCTGGCCTCCCTGTGGGAGCCCAGATAGTCCTGCCCCAAGGTTAGGGGGAGAAAGGCCAGCTCCCCACATCATCCCAGCCCCGCACCTCACCTGCGCTTCCCAGCAGCCTTTGGCAGCGTAGTCCCTGACTTTTCGGAAGCTGTGGAGGCATCGCCCAGGATCTGACACCTGTCAATGGGAGAAGATCACAGAGCCTTTATACAACTGTGTCTTGGGAGGAACTCACAACCAAGACTCAGAAGGGCCGACACTACGCTAACTTCCCACCTCTTCTCTCTCAAATGGTGGGAGTCATTTTTGGAGGTGCCAAGAACAGCCAACAGCTCCTGGAGGCTGACAGGCTGGGAGCAGCAAGAGCCACCACCCTTTTGCGGACAGAACCACATCCAAGGACCAAGTGTCAACTATGCCTTTGTCCAGCGAACCTCCCCCTAACCCAGAGCAGGCTCCACTCACATCTGTCCTCCTGTCGCTTTCCCAGAGGAGGTAGGAACTGGTTAGACATCCCTGATGAGCAGCCTCCTCAAACAGGTCACGGGCCTGCTGCTGCTTCTCTTCATCCTAGAATAAATCCCAGCAGAGTTCATTCTGCCCTTATTCTCTTTTTCATTTTTATTTTTTGAGACAGTTTTGCTTGTCACCCAGGTTGGAGTACAATGGCGCCATCTCAGCTCACTGCAACCTCTGTCTCCTGGGTTCAACCAATTCTCCTGCCTCAGCCTCCTGAGTAGCTGGGATTACAGGTGCCCACCATCATGCCTGGCTAATTTTTGTATTTTTAGTAGAGACGGGGTTTCACCATGTTGGCCAGGCTGGTCTTGAAATCCTGGCCTCAGGTGATTCACCCACCTTGGTCTCCCAGAGTGCTGGGATTACAAGCGTGAGCCACTGTGCCTGGCTGTTTTTGTTGTTGTTGTTGTTTCCCTCTGTCACCCAGGCCAAAGTGTAGTGGTGTGATCTCGGCTAACTAAAACCTCGGCTTTCCAGGTTCAAGCAACTCTCATGCGTCAGCCTCCTGAGTAGCTGGGATTACAGGTGCCCACCACCACGCCTGACTAATTTTTGTGTTTTTTAGTAAAGATGTGGTTTCAACACATTGGCCAGGTTGGTCTCAAACTCCTGACCTCAGGTGATCCACTCGCCTTGGCCTTCCAAGGTGCTAGGATTACATGCATGAGCCACCATGACTGGCCCTTATTCTTTACTTGATGTTAAGTCACTCTACTCACCATCCTCCTCCCTTTCCATACTCTCTTTTTTTTTTGTCTGAGACTGAGTCTCGCTCTGTTGCCAGGCTGGAGTGCAGTGGTGCAATCTCGGCTCACTGCAACCTCCACCTCCGAGGTTCAGGCAATTCTCCCTGCCTCAGCCTCCTGAGTAGCTAGAATTATAGGCACCCGCCACTAAGCCCAGCTAATTTTTGTGTTTTTTAGTAGAGACCTGGTTTCACCATTTTGGCCAGGCTCGTCTTGAACGCCTGACCTCAGGTGATCCACTCACCTTGGCCTCCTAAAGTGCTGGGATTACAGGCATGAGGCACCATACCCGGCCCCTATACAAAGTGGTAACACACATTGCTCTGAGCTTTAATAAAATGAGTTATCTAAATCAGAGCAGAAGTGACTTTTCTACATAGGCACCACTCCAAAGCCAGTGAGGAGTGTGAACTCAAGAACTCCGGCCACAAAAGCCCTGCTGTCTTCCTGGAAGGGTTTATGTTTGGGCTGGGCCTGCACGATCCCTGGTTCAGCTCTGCACCATCAAAGGCCTGCCCTCAACTGCCAGGATAGTGCTGATGGCCCTCAGTGGTGGCTCTCAGGGCTTCTCCTCAGTGTCCCTCTCTGATGCGTTTGCCAAGCCTGTCACTAGAAGCCACCACATTCCCTCAATTTGCTGCCAAGGGGGTTTACGGATCACAAAGTCCATTAGGACATCAAGAGCAGAGAGGTCCACATGGGCAGGCGAAGCCCACCAGAAGCAGGGCCAGCAGACGAGCGAGCATCGAGGTTCAATGCCTCCTTGCTATCTGCTCTGCAGTTCTCACCTCCCCCTACGCCCCCACCAGGTGGGTCATGGAGCCAGGATCGGAGCCCACGGCCTGGCGCATATGTACTCCCTGGCTTCTTCAGCTGGGCCTTTCTGGGCAAGGCTTGCCTTTTGTTTTGGGCCTTGGATTCCCCCTTCTGCTGCTTTTCACTTCCAGGATCTTGGCTAGGGATGTATCAAACACAAAGTCCAAGTGCAGAGAACAATTTGACTCACCTCGAACAGACTCAGCACTCTGCCCAAGCAGTGCAATATGGATGCTTTGTGAGTCTTTAAAAAAAGGAGAAAGAAGTGTGATTTCCAGCAGAGAGAACTGCTTGGGGGCCCCCCTCCCTTGTTTGTGTCTCTGGGTCCCATGCCCATGGCCCTGCTGTCTGGCCCTCCCTCCCCTGCAGAGGGTCACTCTCAGATTTCGGTCTTTTTTTTTCTTTTTCTTTTTTTTAATGGAAACAGGGTCTCGCTCTGTCAGCCAGGCTGGAGTGCGGTGGCGTAGTCACAGCTCATTGCAACCTCAACCTCCCAGGCTCAAGCGATCCTCCCACCTCAGCCTCCCGAGTAGCTGGGACCACCACCCCTGGCTTTTTTGTATTCTTTGTAGATGAGGTTTCATCATGTTGCCCAGACTGGTCTTGAACTTCTGGCCACAAACGATTCTCCAGCCTCGGCCTCCCAAAGTGTTAGGATGATAGGCGTGAGCCACCTCACCCGGCCGGATTTGGGTCTTGAGCTCCAACTGCCCCATGCAGCCTCAGCCCTGAGTTTCCAGCCATCAGCACGTGTGCTCAGAACTCTGCAGCCCACCCTGGCTCTCAGGCTTCCTCCTCTGTGCCAGGTAATTTTGAGATGCGTTCCCCACATCTGCACTCTGTTTTCTGCATCTTCACTTCCCTTAGGCTCCTGACTTTCCAGGGTCCAGTGTCTACCTTCGGGGTCTTCCTGTGCCGTGGGACCCTGCAGGTGGCCTCGCAGGTGCTGCCCCTCGCCCAGACTCACCCTCTGCAGCTGGCACTCTGCCCTGAGGCTTTCATGAACCACGGCTTTGCAGCAGCTTCCGCTCACCGACCATGGAGGGCGGATGAAGAGCCAGATGAAAGGCGCGGCACCCACGTTCAGCCGCTCAGCGAGACTAAAGAAGCGAGAGGCCTTCAGGCCATTCACTTCTGCGCGGGCCTCATCAGACACAGACACTGTGGGGACAGATAGGACAGAGCCCAGGGATGTCTCTTAGGGATGGAATGTGGGAAGTTCTCCATGGTCTTGGTGGAAAGTGTAATGCCTGAAGTCCACGATAGTGCAAAGCAGCTGGTGTTTAAGGAGGGAAGAGCCCTCCAGGATGGGGCACCTGTCTTTTCTCCCCCTACTTCGTTAATGTCTAGAACAGGTGGGTCATTGTGATCAATGCCCCTGCTGCAGTCCTCCCGGAAGCCTGGATTCTGAAGGTCAGGGGAAGGAGACCCTGCGACGCTTCATGTCCCAACCTCCCTCCAGCTGGGAACCACCGCCTGACCCCCTGGTAATGGGTCCATGGCAGGGGTGGGGGTTCTTTTTGGGACAAGGAGAATATTCTAAAATTAGACAGTGGCAATGACTGCACAACCCTGTGAATATACTAAAATCCACAGAACTGCAGGCTTTAGATGGGTGAACTGTCTGGTATGCGAATTTCATGTCTGGGAACTGCTCTCTGATGGGAGGGTAGGGGTAGGACCTTGGCTCCCCGATTCTGGAGGAGGGTGTTGCTCATGGTCCCTGTCAGTCACCACAATCCTGCCAGCCAGCCAGGGGTAGGGACTCTCTCCCAGCAAGACACCAGATCGTTTAGAAGTGGGAATGTGGGAGGCTACACCCCAGTCCTTGTTTTGAGAGCTGGGACAGACTGTGGGCTCGTTCCTTGGAGTGCTGGCCAGATAAGCGGGAACTGGTAGAAGAAAAGGCTGTGCAAGTTTCTTTCAAGGAGCACCTGGCCTCTGGGGATGAAGGGATCCAGGAACCAGGCCAGCTTTAACCTGCCCATACCTGCTTCCCGTTTAGAAGCTTGGCTCTGTGTTACAGGGCATGCTGACCTCTGTCTAAAGAATTCTAAGAGGATGGCCAAGGAGAGTGCCAGCATCCACACGCGGGTCTGCGTGCTCATGGCACAGAGGGCGGGGAGCCCGAACAGCCCCCGTGCTGAGACTCTGGCTCAGTCACTCTTTGCCAACTGAAATTAAAGGGTTTGCTAAAACAAGAGGTGACTCTCTCATAACCTACAAAGTCAGAGTATCATTAGCAGGTTCTTCAGCAGGGTACATCTGGGCACAAGCTCCTGAGAGGGAATGGGAAGGCAGGCCACTGCACAGAGCAAGGACAGTGACTGAACTGCTAACACAGGGACCACCTCTTCATAGGGCCAAAGGCTCACGCCTATCTAAAGCGACAACACGCAGGAGGGGTGAGGACTTACGGCCTTCATTGTAGAGGTAGGCTATGCCCAGCTTCACAGCAGCTTCGAAATTCCCTTTTTCAGCAGCCCTGAAACATAAAGAACATAAAGCATCACAAAATTTTATGCCACAAACGGTATGAAGCACCATAGCACTTGAAGAAGTCAGAATACTTGTTCCCTGAATTGAATATATATATACGTCTATATACACACACACATATGTGTGTCTGAGACAGGGTCTTGCTCTGTTGCCCATGCTGGAGTGCAGTGGTGCGATCACAGTTTACTGCAGCCTCAACCTCCTGTGCTTAAGCCATTCTCCCACCCTGGCCTCCCAAGGAGCTAGGACCACAGGCATGTGCCACTATGCTCAGCTAGTCAAACAAAAAATTTTTTTTCCCTAGATACAGGGTCTTGCTACATTGCCCCGGCTAATCTTGAATTCCAGACCCAAGCGATCCCCCTGCCTCGACCTCACAAAGTGCTGGGATTATAGGTTTGAGCCATCATGCCTGGCCCTAGAACATTTCTTTTTTTTTTTTTTTTTTT